AAAACATCTGATCATTTAAAAACGAACTTGATCAAGTTCACATTTATGAACGGTCTAGATGCCATTTTTGAGGGATTTTCTTATACTTCATTTCAAGTTCATATAAAATGACAAATTTTCATGTACTGAAATACGACAAGTTTATATATTTATTGTTTATCGTATTTTTTACTTTACAGAACTACCGTGATACTTTAAAACACGATGTTTCTATTTACAAAATTGTAGTAAATTATTTAGTATGGGTCACCAATACAAATACCACTATGAGTTTACTTTTGAATTGATAGTCAAAAACTTGGATTGATCTAAGGTATGGATGTTATACCTCAGGTCTGAGGTATGGATGTTATACCTCAGGTCTGAGGTATGGATGTTATACCTCAAGTCTGAGGTATGCATGTTATACCTCAGGTCTGAGGTATGGATGTTATACCTCAGGTCTGAGGTATGGGTGTTATACCTCAGGTCTGAGGTATGGATGTTATACCTCAAGTCTTAGGTATGGATGTCATACCTCAGGTCTGAGGTATGGATGTTATACCTCAGGTCTGAGGTATGGGTGTTATACTACAGATCTAAGGTATGGATGTTATACCTCAGGTCTGAGGTATGGATGTTATACTACAGATCTAACGTATGGTTGTTATACCTCAAAGGTATGAAAGTTATACTTCATATCTGATGAATGAATGTTATTCCGCAGGACAGTTTTAAGGTTTTGGTTTTTGTAATCAGAAGCTCATTCACATGGACATAATTTTCTAACTGTATTTACATATATACAACGTTTATGAAACTGAAATTACAGGACGTTTTTAAAACTTTAAAGGAGATTCTGAGGTAGAAATAAATGGTATGTTTCTATACGGTGTCACTCTTCATTATCTAGAATACTATATCTGGCTTTAAGTTCTTCAATATCTTCTCTCCTTATTCTTCTGCTACTAGAAAACTGGACTCCTATCATCACTATTTGACTTTTATCAATTTCTTCTATCCATGGTTTTCTGTTGGCACCACTTCCAACGTAGGAATCCCGAAATGTTCCGTTGTAAGAGCCATTGAGCCAGCGAATGGTAACCATAAGTTGTCCTATTTTTTCCACCTGTCCAATTAACGGTCGGTTGCCCCACTCCTCAATGTTCACTGCCACGTAATGACCAACCAAAAGTTGGTTTACGTCGACAGGGGCCAGGAATGGAACTGCAGTGTCTTCTTCAATGTTTTGGGTGGTACAGTCTGCAGAATTGTCCAGCGCCTGCCAGCTTCGTTGTCTTCTTCTTGGATTTTGGTATGGTCCAACGTAGATCTGAGATGAAAAAAAACACATAAACATAAACACAGATCATAACTTTCAATTTGACACTCACCAGAAAAGAACCACACTTTGCTTTCTTCAAGAAAGCAAGAGGTAATAAATAAATGTGGATTATACATCGCATTCCTGTTTTAAAATTTCATCTAAACTACAATCAGCACTCATTCAACACTGAGGTACCTTCTCAATAGTCATTTAAAATAATTAGCATGCGTGATTTGCCATAATGACGTTACTGTGTATTGGCTTACCTCGAGGTGATCAGAGTCGCTGTTCTCAACTTCATCTTCTTTTTCTGCCTCTCTTTCACACAGCTCCACTCTGGCAGTTAACAATAGTGATTCCAAAGGCCATCCACCTGCGAAAGCTTTAGAAAAAGTAAACAGAAAAATTGAAATACAGTCGAACCTCTCGTAAGCGACCACCCAAAATGTCAAGTCTAGGTGGTCGCTTATGGGACGTGGTCGCTTACGAAAGCTTATACCACACTAGGTCGATATTTGCCTCATTAGCATATGGTAAATACAGGGACTTACCGGCCCCATGCACCAATGCCGATGCAATGTTTTATTCATGAGAAAAGTCAATTTTGTGAGAGAAAAAAACCGGTTTTTCCCATTGAGAAATTTTCGTCTCTTTCCCCTGCCAGGGGTACGATAATGTTGCAACACCTTATTATCCAAGTGTCTCCTAAATTATCTGTCAAGTGGTCACTTACGAGAGGTTCTGTTTTTATCCTTGCTATTTCCATCTTTATGGTATGCATCTTGGTTACCTGTTGTATTCTGACTGTTGATTTCCTCTTGAGTTTTCTTAATCCACTCTTCCCACTCCCCAATACAGTCATCTGGCATCCAATTAGAATAAATATCCCTCAGGTGTCTGCTAAACAGAGGAACTTTCATTTCCTCAAACGACGATGCGACCATTCGCAGTTGACCAGTTGGAAGATCTTCAAAGATGGGGAATCTTGATTGATCAACCGATCAACTGTCGATGTGGATCTCTTCTTGTACGAAAATCGCACTCCTTCCCCTTCAACTTCAAATTTAAATTGGTATGACTTTAGGTGCCCGTGAAGGTCAGGAATGAACCCATCTATCCAGTCTCGTACATTGTAAGGATGGTCAAGCATTTCTGCGTCAACGGGGTCTTTTCTATTAACTTGCTTGATTTTCTGGAGCAGTTGTGATAGCGTGAGGACTTTGAACTTGTTTAGGATTCTTGCAATGCAGGAGAAGAACTGGTCGATATCCTCATGAGTGTGTCCCACCATTAAAAATCCAACTTTAATCTGGAAATAAACATGCACACAAATAAGCAAATGAAAATCAAAGGTCTTATTGCAATAAAAGATATTTTTTATCAACAGCTATTAAATGGAGCAACGCTAGCGCATGCCAGCGAAGTCACAATAAATTTTACAGACCATCCCAATGCTAATTTTCTTTCTTTTTTGGGTGGGGGGGGGGGAGTTGGTCAATTTCCTTTTAATTGGATGGCTTTTATCCTGTAGGTTGCCATTAAATTGCAATAAATTGGAGTAATAATGGAAAAGCTGTTGAAAGTTTAAAAAGTAATTAGCAGGTATTTTTACTGCTTACCTTTTTTCACAAGTAGGAAACAAAAGCAAAGGACCCACTTATTCTTGTTCTCTCTGCAACAGTTGTCCATTTGCAGGTAGAGTACATCCTGTGTGGTCTTGTGTTTAGCGATTACCTTGAGCAGCACAGTAAGTGTTAAG